CCATCCTGCAATCATGATTCTGTATTTGTAATAAAACCTTTCAACCTAACCCAAGCTTATGATAGTTCTAAAGTAAAATGTACCAACATTTATATCAAATGGGATAGATGAACTAAAACCAGCCTCACATCAAGCCATTTTTTTAAAACCACTACGGAAGCAATGCCAGGTATTGGGCTAACAAAAGAAGTATGATAAACTTGAGGATTTCAGAATTTTTTAGATTTCATAATGTGGATAAGGGATGTTGGTGGATAAGTAACATGTCAGGAGGTGAATGCTACAGAGAAATAGTAGTTAGGACAAGGAGTATATGAATGTGCACATGTGCAGGACACATAGTGGTCAGAGAGAGTTTTTGTTATAAGATTATGTTTGAGCAGAGATCTAAGGGAATGAACACAAAGTAACTAATTATAGAGTATTCTTAATAAAGAAAAACTAATGCAAAGATTGAGGTAGGAATGTGGTTGGCATGTTTAGGTGGGAGGGTATACTCCAAAATGAGTGGTTTTAAATGAGGTTAGAGTAGTGAGAGTATGTGGGGATTCCTTTATGCCCCTGAAGACTACTGAATGGGTTCAGAATTCTGGGTTAGGAAACCACTAATGGGTTTTGAGCAGAGGAATGAAATAATGCAACATGTTTTAAAGGAATTACTTTTAAAAGAAATCTGCTGAAAAGAGGGACAAGGTAGAAGTAGTGCTTTAGGTTCAAAGTGTCTCCCAAAAGCCCACGTGTTAAATACTTGGTTGCCAGACAGTGGTGTTACTGGGAGATGGTGGAACCTGACATGGGATCTAACAGAAGAAAGTTAGGCCACTGGAGGCATGCCCTAGAAGGGGATATGGAGACCCTGGTCACTTTCTGTTCTCTCTTTTCCTTCCTAGGTACTGTGAACAACTCCTCTACCATAATGTATTTTGCCACCATAGGCCAAAAGTAACAGGGTAAAGCAACCATGGACTGAAACCTCTGAAACTGTGAGTCAAAATAAACCTCTTCTCCTTTTAAGCTGGTTATCCTGAATATTTTGTTACAATAACGGAAAGCTGACTGACACAGTAGGGAGATGAGCTGGAAAGCTGTTATAAAAATCTAAGTGAAAAATAATCGTGGTTTCCATCAAGGTAACAAAGTGGTTAAAAACTACCATCAGTGGTTGTTGAGAGAAGAAATAAGATTCTGGATATATTTTGAAGGTAGAATAGGGGATTTGATGATAGGTTAGTTTTAAGGTAGTAAAGCAAGAAAGGAAGAAAAGACAACCCAAAGGTTTTGGATTCTATCAACTAAAAGAAGAGTTCTCATTTGCAGAGATGGGTAGAAGGAAGAAACTTGGGGATGGGCAGTACCTGGGACACAGAGCTTGGGTTTTGACATGTTAAGTCCAAGATACCAATCAGTTATCCTCTAGAATACACTGTCTCCTACAAGAGTGATTTAGTTAAAATTAAAAATTCATTTTCTCAGTCACACTAGCCACACTTCAAGTATTCAATAGTTGAATGTGACTAGGGACTATCATATTGCGAAAGCACAGGTATAGAACATTTTATCCTTGCTGAAAGTTTTACTGAACAGGACTGTCCTAGAAAATAAGTTTAACTGAGTACTTATTTTAGGCAAAGCAATTATATAAGAAAGCAAGATCCTCTATACTTTAGAAGAATTTTCAGAAAAGAAAAGTAAGTCTTAACAAATACTAAAACCAGAGTTTAGTATAAAATGTGTTTGAAAACTGATTATGAAAGGGCTTCTTGAGCAGAGTCCACCACATCATTTTAGTCCCAGCTCCAATCCAGTTACTTCTATTCAATGCTTGCTCTGGCCCCATTTGAAGAAGATACAGGGAACAGATCACAATAAGTGGGAACAGAAAGATTCTGAATCACTGATACTTTAAATGACATCAGGTATCAAAGCTTTGTGGATCAGAAACCTTTTCCTTCAGTTCCTTTATTTTTTCCTCCCCTAATTTTAGTTGGAATTTATTTCTATGTTAAACTTTTTTTTTTTTTTTTAGTTGTAGGACACAATACCTTTATTTTATTTATTTATGTGGTGCTGAGGATTGAACCCAGTGTCCCATGCATGCAAGGCAAGCACACTACCACTGAGCCATACTCCCGGCTCCTATATTAAGCTTTAAGTTACCTGAGGGCAAAAAAACCATACTTTTCTTATTTTTGGTTTGGGATACCGTAAAAGCAAATGCACTTTCCCTACTATAACTTGATACAGATGATCTGTCAAAGGCTTTCTGTTCACTTACACATCTGAGAGGCAGTTTGAGCTCTGGAATAATGGTACTTCTAGGACAGTTTACCAGGGAAACAAAATAGAATATTTAAATTGGGAATGTTTCAGAAAGCCTAGGATTACAATGACTGAACACAGGGTGCACTCTGGATGCATAGGTAGCTTAACCACTTCATGCAAAGAATATTTTAATCACAGTTTTACTTTTAACTATTCTGTCTGTCATAATTTGAAAATGTGTCCTACATCCATCACCTACCTGTAATCTGCCAAAGTAGTGAAAGATTAGGGTAGAAAGGATTTATTTCTAGAGTATTAGATACATTCAGAATTAAAAAAAAAAAAAATCAAACTAGGTTCTGTTTTGGCTCTTTGCTTGATTGATTAGAAGCACTAAGACAAAAGATGTTAGCTGTCATATGTATTCTCAGATTGCTGGCTTATGTACATATTTTCATAGTAAATAATTTTGATAGTTTCTGTGGTTTCTTAAAAAAATAATTTTAACTACTTGGAGAAAATGACTTCTAAGGTCGGTCTCTCTATCTCACGCGCACATGCTTACATACACACACACAGTTAGTATTTATGGGGGATTGTTCCAGGACCCTGCAGATACCAAAATCTGTGGATGTTTAAATCCCTTACAAAAAATAGCATGTATTTGCATATAAACTATGACACTGTCTTACATACTACAAATCACCTCCAGATTACTTATAATAATTAATTCAATGTAAATGCCATGTTAATATACTGTATTGTGTAGAGAATAATGACAAGGGGGGAAAAAAAGCATGCACATGTTTGGTACTAGGCATATCTACTGTACTTTTGGTTCAAGGTTAGTTGAATCCATGGATGTAGAACTTGTGGATATGGAGGGCTGACTGTATATAGTTGCCTAAACACGGTATATATGTACATGCAAACAAAAGCAACTAGTCTCAAGTTCCTTCAGTAAAAACTACTGTTTTGAGCCATGGAAATTTTGGGGTTGTTTGTTATAGAAGCAATTTTCTCTAATTAATAAATCCCCTATTGTTTCTTAAAGTAGAGATAAGAAAAAAGAATTACAAAATTTTCACTTGGTATTTAAACTCTGAATATAAAAATCTTTCATTATAAGACAGATATTCAAATATATATCAGAAGCAAATTGGTGCTGAGAAAATCTGGCACAACAACAGAAACAAGGACTAACAGCTGTTGGTTAGTTGCCAGTTGAGTCCTTCTCTGAATTCTGCATTCAATGAAGTAGTTATGATACAAAAAAAGAAATAGGTGGCCAAATTTGGAGGAATATCATAAAACACCTGTATTCAGGTAGCTGACTTTTCAAAACAGGTCTTGTACTGAGTTATTGAGGCAGCAAAAGATTCAGTTAAAACTTTTTACCATGTTCCACAAGTAAGAACATACTTCAGTTCCAAAGGACAAACTCATATCTAGTACCTGTAGGCATTTTTGCCCTTGAAATTCTGTGCAGAAAATGTGGCTACCACACAGATAAATGTGGCCTGCAACACCACTCAACTACTTGACTTCTACAAAAACGTTTTTTAAAGTATTGTCCATGTTTTGATTCCCAAACATAACAGAGAAAGTTACATGAACAATGGTAATCCTAGTCTTCATTAAGAAAAAAAAAAGGGAGGGGGAAATAACTAAATAAGTTGGTATAAAAGAATATGAAATAAAATTAAACATCTTAGTCTTCTCCTCTTCAATAGTTAAATTTAAGTCTACAAATATTACATTAATTTCATACTAGGGAATTTCACTGGATGTGAAAGCCTAGCATTCCTTTAATATATTAGAATGCTACTGCATTTAAGGAAAAATAAAAAATGTCAGGAAGTCTCTATCTTGGTAGGGTACTACAACCTCTAACAAAGCATCTGCCATAATGCAGGAGGCAAAGTCAAGCATCTCCATCAGAAGCTCAGATGTCCTGGCAACACTGGCTGCTTTCAACCTTGATCTAACTGGACATGCTTCCAATATAAACTAGCAAAACAAAAAATAAACTTTTGATAAGAAGGCTAGAGCACCTAGCATGATGTTGGACACACAGTTTCTCCTTAATATTTGTTTGCTGAATAACAGATTTAAGATGTAAATAGAAACTATAATCCACATTACTAATTTTACTGAGGCAGGAATTTATATCTTCATCATATTCCAAAAGGATTTAAGATAACAAATAAATTTGCACAAATTATGACAAGGAAAAGTTTAAAGTAAATTGGAAGAAACTTGAGATAGGAGGATAAGATAAAAACAGGAGATGTATTTGACAACTTCATCTTCACTGTATAAGATTTAAAGAGTGCACATTATTTTCCTAAAAAGCAATGCTGTTATTTCATTTGTTGTATTTGCTTTTCTAAAAGTATTCAGAAATTGATAATAGAATTTTTCCTTATGAGGGACTCTGGGAACTAGGAATCTATGTTTTGCTTAAGAAAACATCTTTAGTTTCAGAAATCACTGTTTAGTATGACACCAGGGAAGAAGCTGAGTGATATGGGTGGGGGGGTAATTCCAAGAACAGCATCATTACAGATTAACTCAAACACAGGCAAAGAATAGTAAGTAAAAGTGTGTCTGTGAGATTTATTATAGAACTAAATGAACAAAACTCACTAGAGACATATATTGAAACCACACACATATACAGCCCCCAAAAGAAAGTGTAAAGGAATTTTATCCTAGACATCCAAGAGTTTACTTACCTATAGCTTGAGCTAAGGCTATTACAACCTCCTGGCAAGTTGTGACTTCGGTGACACCACAAACAATCCTCTGAACTCCATCCACCCATACTTTCAGTTCCATGGTGCACTGGCTAATCACCCAAGGCCCTGACAGTAGTCATCAGAGTGTCAGGTCATGTCTGGCTTCAAGAACACAGAGAAGGCAGAGACTGTAGTCAGATAAAAAGAGGAAAATATCATTTTTAATAAGGTAAATGTTAGCATTTCTTATATAATATAAAAATTACATGAAACAAATTTTAATATACCAGAATCCTGCTACTATAAAAGTCCATTTGTACTTATTTTACAGAACTAAAGTCAGCAGTACAAATGCAATTACAGCCACCTAGCATGACACTGCTTCATATTATTACTACTTTCCTAACAATGATTTTATTTATGTGTCTTTGGGCTAAATATTCTTATTTACTTGATCAAGCCCTACTGTTCAGTGTATATGTTCTTTTTCTATCCCTTTTCACCACTTTCATTAGGATGGGTTCTGAGTTAAAAGAAAGAAAAAAAAGTTCTTGTCATTCCTGGAATCATAAACCAATCTCACAGGCTTGCCAGCACTGAGTATAATACTTGTTAGAAACATTTGTCAAGGCGTCCTGCTAACTCCAAGTTGCACTCTTGTGTTGAGTGTGTCCCTTACCTCCCCACAAGACTGAGGAAATGGTCTTTACCACTGAATGCTCCCACCAAGCATGCATGAAGACAGGTGTGTAAAAAAAAAATCTCATTTTTTTTTTTGAAAACAAATTCCTTGGGTAGCTGACCCCATGTGTGAACATCTTATTCTTTTCTTATTTAGCTGGGCTTGCTAATTTTGCTGAATTAGAAGACTGATACAAACATAAACCATCATCATTTGTTGTATTTGCTGTGCTAAACCAGTGCTCAATTTTTTATTTGGCTGAATTATATGCCAAACATTTCTCATTTCATTAAACCAAATACCTTGATTTCTTCTACTGGTACCGATTTGAAAGGTTTTAATCTGCTAAAAAGAATTTATGCACAGTTCTTTTCTTGTGAGTTTTTAAAATCTCAACTTTTCCTGTGTCAAATCTTTTTTATCAATCTAGGATTTACTTTGTTTATCCATTGTTTTTGATCTTCATATTTCTTTGTTGTTTTAGAAAAGAGCATTAAAGTTTTTATGAGATGTAATAAACATTGATTTAATTAAGAGAACATTTGGATTAGTTTTAAGGTTTATAATGGCACTGATGTTTCACAATTAATGACTTTTAAAAAAGATTACTAAAAGATACTGAAAACTTTTCCTATAAAATAGAATTTACTATGAACAGTAGCTTTGCCCCTTTACATTTTCTTAAGGGACCTAAGACAGTTATGGGCCATCTAGTCACCTAGTGGTAAGTTAGAACACATGCTATCTGAAGGAAGATAAACTATATTATTTCTTCCAGAGATGGTGCAAAAATACTCTGTCATCATGAAAACAAGAAAGGACTGATTGAACAGTAACTTCCTAGGATGCTGCTTCAGGTCTCTGCCTATAATGAGGTGCCAAAGAAGTTTCAGAAACCCCTATATTTGCTTTTATTGGTTTTAGATATATATGACAACAGAATATACTATGACTAAATTACAAGAGCATGAATATAATTTGTTTTACTTCAGTCTCCAGTATTTCTCCTTCCCCTTCCTTCCTCCCATGCCCAGTTCCCTTCCCTCTATATTCTACTCTTCAGAAATCCCTACATTATACAGAGAAGGGTCTTCTTTCCAATGACCAGCTGATTCCCATAACTGGGTTCCTTGTTATGAGATCCTTTGAGATGTTAATGGTTCTGAGAAAAAGGGTTCCAAAGTCAAAGAAATATAAGAAATTCCGTAAACAATGTTAAAAGTTTCTTTACAGTGAGACTTCTCTGAACCTCCAACAGGCTGTGAGCACTCTAAGCTTCAAGAAGGAGCTGCACACACAACACAACTGTCTTCCACTCACCTGGAGGACACATAGGGAAAGGAATAGGGCAGTTCTGACCCTGAAGGCTCTGCCTTACTAGGTTCTCTCTACACTAAAAATAGAACATGCAAAAATTATTCTTTCTTGGAAAAAGATGCAGGCATCAAAAAGTGATCAAACATTAATATATAGCTTTATTTCATTAAAAAATGTTGAATTAAAGTATGCTTAATATCTAATCCTTTTTTTCCATTAAAAAATCTTGAACTTGAAAAAACTACTAAGAAAGCCCCTCCCTCCAAAGAAACCTTTTATTCAAAAGAAACCTCTGGGACTTATTTTTTTTTAAATATTAAAAAACATACAAAAACATATCAAAAAGATAGTGTACCACGATCAAGTGGGGTTCAAGGGATGTAAGGTTGGTTCAACATACGGAAATCAATAAATGTAATGCACCACATCAACAGACTTAAAAGATGAGAACCATATGATCACCTCAACAGAAGCAGAAAAAGCATTCAACAAAATACAGCACTCATTCATGCTCAAAACACTAGAAAAACTAGGGATAACAGGAATATATCTCAACACTGTAAAAGCTATCTATGCTAAGCCCCAGGCCAACATCATTCTAAATGGAGAAAAATTGAATGCATTCCCTCTAAAAACTGGAATAAGACAGGGAAGCCCTCTTTCACCATTTCTATTTAACATAGTTTTTGAAACATTAGCCAGAGCAATTAGACAGATGAGATAAATTAAAGGTATACACATAGGAAAAGAAGAACTTAAATTAGCCCTATTTGCTGATGATATGATTCTATACCTAGAAGACCCAAAAATTCTGCCAGAAAACTTCTGGAACTTGCTGAGAGCCACGGCTGAGTCTGTATGGCCCCTGGCATTTTGCCAACAGTATTGATTGACAGGCGAGGCATTACTATCCGCCTCTGCCGCAACTTTTGAGTTCTCGCACTATTTTGGAGTTCTCGTGGGGATTTCCAGGGATTCCCCGAGAGTTCCCATTGGTTGGGGAAGTGCAGGAGGAGGGATTTCCGGGAGAGATATTTCTGGCTGGGGGTTCCTGGACAAGCCTGGTGGCGCGTTCGGGAGGATTCCCCGGGAGCTGTGTGAAGTGTTTTCCTGCAGTTTAAAAATAAAGTTTGTTCCTGCTTCAGTGGCTCGTGATTTGTGCCCAGCCAGACTGCGGCAGAACTAGTAAAGGAATTCAGCTAGCAGGATACAAAATCAACACCCATAAATCAAATGCATTTCTGTATATCTGTGACAAATCTTCTGAAAGGGAAATGAGGGAAACTACCCAATTTACAATAGCCTCAAGAAAAAAAAATACTTGGGAATCAACCTAACAAAAGAGGTGAAAGACCTTTACAACAAAAACTACAGTACACTAAAGAAAGAAATCAAAGAAGACCTTAGAAGACGGAAAGATCTCCCTTGTTCTCGGATAGGCAGAATTAATATTGTCAAAATGACCATACTACCAAAAGCACTATACGGATTTAATGTAATTCCAATCAGAATCTCAATGAAATTCCTCATAGAAACAGAAAAAGCAGTCATAAAATTCATCTGGAAAAATAAGAGACCCAGAATAGTTAAAGCAACCCTTAGCAAGAAGAGTGAAGCAGGTGGCATCACTATACCTGACCTTAAACTACACTACAATGCAATAGTAACAAAAATGGCATGGTATTGGCACCGAAATAGACTTGTACACCAATGGTACAGAATACAGGATACAGAGACTAATCCACATAATTACAGTTATATTTGACAAAGGCGCCAAAAACATACATGGGAGGGAAGAGAGCCTCTTCAACAAGTGGGGCTGAGAAAATTGGAAATCCATATGCAACAAAATGAAATTAAACCTCTATCTCTCACCATGCACAAAACCCAACTCAAAGTGGATCAAGGACCTAGGAATTAAACCAGACACTTCGTCTATTAGAATAAAAAGTAGACCTAAATCTCCATCATGTTTGATTAGGCTCCAACTTCCAATAAGACTCCTATAGCATAATAATTAATATCAAGAATCAATAAATGGGATGGATTTGAATTAAAAAGCTTCTTCTCAGCAAAAGAAATAATCAGTGAGGTGAATAGAGAGTGTACTAATTTGGAACAAATTCTTACCACATGCACATCAGAGTAATAATCTCTAGAATATATAAAGAACTCAAAAAGTTAAACACAAAAAAACCCAAATAATCCAATCCATAAATGGGCCAAGGAACTGAACAGATATTTCTGAGAAGAAGATATGCAATCAAAAAAATATAAAAAAAATATATGAAATGCAAATCAAAACTACTCTTAAGATTTCATCTCACTCCAGTCAGAATGGCAGCTATTAAGAATACAAACAGCAAGTGTTGGTGGGGATGTAGGGAGAACAGCACACTCATACATTGCTGGTGGGACTGCAAATTGGTGCAGCCAATATGGAAAGCAGTATGGTGAATCCTTGGAAAACTGGGAATGGAACCACCATTTGATCCAGCTATCCCTCTCCTTGGTCTATACCCAAAGGACTTAAAAACAGCATACTACAGGGACACAGCTACATCAATGTTTATTGCAGCACAATTCACAATAGCTAAACTGTGGAACCAACCTAGATGCCCTTCAGTAGATGAATGGATAAAGAAAATGTGGTATATATACACAATGGAATATTATTCAGCATTCAAAGAGAATAAAATCATGGCTTTTGTAGGATGGAGCTGGAAAATATAATGTTAAGTGAAATTAGCTAATCCCAATAAACCAAATGTCAAATGATTTCTCTGGTTTAAGGAAGGTGATTCATAATATGCTGTGGGGGAGGGAATGGGACGATTAAATGAACTCTAGATAGGGCAAAGGGGAAAAGGGGAGGGAGGGGAAGGGAAGGGACTTAGGGGTAGGAAAGATGGTGGAATGCGATGGTCATCATTACCCTAAGTACATGTATAAACACACAAAGGATGTGACTGTACTTTGAGTATAACCAGAAATATGAAAAATTGTGCTCTATGTGTGTAATATGAATTTTAATGCATTCTATTGTCATATATAACAAATTAAAAAAATTTAAAAAATAAATAATAAAAAATTAGTAGAAAACTTAGCACATTTCTGAGCACACAATACAGCACTGTTAACTGAAGGCACAATGCTGTACAGCAGATCTCTAGAATTCACTCATCTTGT